ACGCAAGCTTCAGACGAAGAAGTGAATGACATGTTCTCCCTGCGCCTATTTATACTATAGTCGCACCGGTAGTGACGTCATGGCTGTCGCCGGCCAACGAGTTGGTGTTTTTTCAATGTATGCTTCAGACACGGGTCACGACGAGGCGTTCCCCATAGCGACCCCTAGAGGACGCTGTGTCTCGTTCCCTACTCAGGGAACCATGGTTACATAAGTAACCTGAGACGTTTTCGCTGACATATGTATTTTATATATGATATAATATAAACTAATTATGTGAAATGAGACATATCCAACATTTCTTAAACAGTTAATTGAACCGTTGTGTCACAATAATCAATTTGTAGTAAATATGTATTTATGAACAAACAGCCACAAATTACTGTTACTGAGTTCTTTTTAACTGTATTATAAGCATGTAGTGCTAATATGTGGAATACATTTAAATGAACTAATTTGATATAGATGAGCAGTGATTTGTCACAGCATGTTACTCGCTTGCAATATAAACATGGTGTAACTGTCGAACACTAAAAAACTCGAAACATGAGGAGACTTGCATTCTCTGATACACTCATATGATCCAAAAAGACACTACAGTTGCACTGTAAAAAAATGTAACCCCCACAATGTTTGTCAATTTACTTTCTGCATCCTGTGCATAAACATCAATATTTAAACACACACACACACACACACACACACACACAGGTAACCAGACATGCACTGTACAGACAACATATTAGAATTCAAATACATTTTAATAAATATTTATAATATTTATGTAATTATTTAATTATTTAATATTTAATGAATCAAGTTAATGTGTAAAGGCTTTTTGTAAAAGTTTTTTTCCTCATTTAAAAAAAGGAGTTCTCAAATGTTCTAATTATTTTGGATGATTCATTCTTTTACAATAGCAATTTATGTCATGTTGTTATAATTTTGTTTAAAGCACTGAATGATTTATTGCGTGTCACTTTCTTTTTTTGTAGGGTTTTTAGAAAGCGCAGTCAATAGTAATGCAACTCATTTGTAACAATCTGACCATTTTAGAAAAGTTATCTGCAGAGTTGTATAATTAATGTTTGTGTAAATTAATTTGCCATCTGGCTGTAAAATTCCACTGCAGTAGTTATATTCTGCAGTAAGAACATTAAACCTTAGAGCTTGAGATGCTTTAACACCTGAGACATGGCTTGAGCCAAAAAGAGCAGACCGGCCTGTGTGTGAATTGAACAAACAGACAAAAATGAAGAACTCACCCAGGGAGAACCACGTGAGTAGTTCCTACAGGTACAATCTCCATGGACTTTCCCCAAAACTTATTCCTCCACCTCACGTCTAAAATCAGTCACGCATAACACACTCAGCTTCATATCTACAGACAACATTAGCTTATTTGTATTGACACAATCAGCCTGGTATTATTAGTGTGCTGTTACCTTGCCAAAAGATGAAGTTTTTAGATTCGGCATGACATGCAGTAATGGGGGGGTGATGGCTGACCTGGAGGATGAAAGCAGAGCAGCTGTGAGAGCCGTACACGCATTCACAAACCTGCTCACAATTACAGCTAACAGAGAGCATCCTACCTGCTCCGCCACAAAACCAAAGCCTTTGTCTGGACGATCACACTCGTAGGTCTCACCCAACACTGGATTAAAGGGTTTTCCTCCAGCTCTGTAGTAACTTGAAGCATAGCTGGACACAGCAAATGTAGCGATGTACACCTACAAACAGAACACAGCACATTTAGTTAGTTATGTATGTTGTCCATTTCATGATACTCTTTATTAAAGGGATAGTTAGTTCACCAAAAAATGAAAACCTGCTGAAAATTTGTCACCCTCAGGCCATTCAAGACGTACAGTAAAAAAATAGTTTCTACATCAGAACAGATTGGGGGAAATTTAGCACTAATGGATCCTCTGCAGTGAATGGGTGCCGTCAGAACGAGAGATCAAACAGCTGATAAAAACATCACAATAATCTACAAGTAATCCACAGTCCAGTCCATCAACTAACATCTTGTAAAGTGAAAAGCTGTATGGTTGTAAGAGAAACATCCATCGAGGCTTTTTAACTTGAAAACGTCACTTCTGGCCAAAATACGAGTCCAGAATGCATAATGAAGCTTCCTCCAGTAAAAATGTCCATGCCCTGTTGTCCTGTCACATTAAAAAAAATCAACCAATGTATTTGTTTAGGACTGTTTTGGACTGGTTTCACTTGTAAACAATGCTTGATCCCTGCATATTTCTTTCCAGATTCAGATGAGATGACTGGAAATAAACAATATTATGCCTAGAGGACTTGTATTTTAGCCGGAAGCAACAGTTTGAAGTTAAAAATGTGTTAACAATGAATTTGTTTATTACAAACACACAGCTTTTCGCTTTACAAGACGTTAATTGGTGGACTGGAGTCGTGTGGATTACTTGTGGATTACTTGTGGATTGTTTTGATGTTTTTATCAGCTGTTTGGACTCTCATTCTGACGGCACCCATTCACTGCAGAGGATCCACTGGTGAGCGATTGATGTAATGCTAAATTTCTCCAAATCTGTTCTGATGAAGAAACAAACTAGTTCACACTTTAAACTGCCTGAGGGTGAGTACATGTTCAACTTAATTTTTGGGTAAACTATTCTTTTAAGAACTTATTGAAATGACATTGTTTCTTATCTGTCTGGCAGGTAAAATTTAATTCACAACCTATTTTATTTTCAGAATCTGGCGTGAAACAAAACATATAGTCTGGACTTGTTTTTCATCTATTGGGAACTGATTGGAATAGGTAAAGTCAGTGTTTTAGCCTTTAATGTGACTTTGCATTTGTTTGTGGAGGACGAGTCCTCTTCTGGAACACCCCCAGAACCCAGGAGACTTTTTGACAGGCATATTTAAAAAAAAAAAAATAATAATAATTTAAAAATATCACAATGGTAACACTACTTTTCCAAACCTGTCATTATGGGCTATTATTGCTGTAACCGTTGTTATATTAATTTTAACTGCCAATAAATTACTGTGATAACCAAGGAGCTCTAGTACACCTCATTTTTTTATTCAGTACCAGAAATATTTTCTTTAGCCAATCAACTGAGGGAAAATGTGGCCTATCTGACATCAGCTAAGATTGAGTCATTTCAGAGGAGGAGAAATGTATTTACTTTTATATAAGACAATTTATTCTATGAAATTACAGACTAAGACCAAGAATGTGCATTAAGTAAACAGATCAGTTATCATGTTGACTTGAAATTCCAGCTCTTTGTCTCTTGTGATTAAGCCACTAAGCTACTGACCTACACATTAGTTAGCCATGCAAATTCGAAAGCTGAAGCTATTATTTAAACTGAGAGAGAAGATTGCTTTTTTCCTCAAGAGACTAAGAACAATGATGGGTACTCAGAGTGTCACTGGATACAGTAGAGTGCAGCTGACTAAAGCACATTTCCAAGCAGGGAGAATGATTTCTGAACAATAATCATGCTCTCATGAGTAACAGTGGATCCCATGATGATGAGCCTGGATCAGACAGGCTTTCAAAAGAATCACTCTACTCCTAGACAATCACATCAGGCTAATCAAATCTAATGCAATGTGACATCACAAGTCAGACTATGGATGTGTGTGTGTTTGTGAATTTTACAATATTAATAACAAACAATATAATATACAATGTAATGATAATATACCATTAATATAAAATTACTGTATTATGGTATATTATTGTAACATAATGATTGTTATAAAATGCAAACTTGAAGTCAGACTATGAATGTGTGAATATTACAATATTAACAGTAAACAATATTTCCAGTACTCAAATTATAAGCGTAAAAATAAAACACATTGTTTTGATATAATATAGTATTATAATATTTTGTTATATATAATTTTATATTTCTTTAATATTATATTAGTGTAACATACGATTTCCGCAATGTGGAAAATGCAGACGGAATCCGGTCTTAAAAACGGAATTTACAGTTTAAGGCGGAATGTCATGGAATTTGCCAAATTTTGGATGGATACATCAAAAGTATCATGATCTGACTCCCCACATGATTGTAAAGTGCTTTGGGTGTACAAAAATACACAATAAAAGCACTATATAAATGCATCATTCATTCAAAAGTAGGTCAGCACACTTAAATCAAAATGCGATTTGGACTAATACCTGCGAATATTAAAGGGGTCATATGATGCGATTTCAAGTTTTCCTTTCTCTTTGGAGTGTTACAAGCTGATTGTGCATAGATAAGATCCCTGAAGTTGCAAAGACTAAAGTCTCAAATCCAAAGAGATATTCTTTATCAAAGTTAAGACTCTGCCAC